GGAAAGAGTCAGCTCCAAAGCACAGCTAACTAGCTGGTCTGTGCTCCAGGATATCACAGGCTAATGATGCTGGAATAAAACCAACCTGATAGTTCTAAATTAAAATCTGCTGGTTAGTTGTACTGGGGTTTGCTCAGCAGGGCACAGCCTTCTCCAAACCAGCCAAGCAGGGCACACCACCTGCATCACCTGGAGCTGCAGGGAGCACTACAGCTGGTTCCTGGGAAGAGGGCATCACTCATAGGGATGCTGGACGTACCTGATGCTCAGCATCCCAGGGATGTTGGCAAGATCTATTTGCCAATGTTGGAGAGCTCAGAGGTGAAGTCAGGCAGGTCTCTCACCTCAAGCACCTTACAGGTCCACTTAAAGGCAGGTGGCTGGCAGTAAGCCCACTTCACATAAAATACTGTTGTGCTCCTGGCATGCTGAAGGAACAGGATAGGCCACAGCCAGACAAAGAGCAAACACTCATTTGCAAATCCAGGCTGTCTTTTCAAACCCTTAGGAAGGCAGGATGTGTCTGGCCCCATGATTATTGTCGCCCCAGGGGATGCAGCTTGAAGAATCAGCACAGATCTCTGGTGACCCTGCAGAAGTCATCACAGCCCACCCCTCCCCTCAGCACACAGGCAGACTCTTCATGGTGCCATGGCAACACCACAAAGCAAGGAGTCTCCTACCAGATGTGTCTTCACAGCCCTGCTGGCTTCCATAGTGACTCCTCTGTCAGTTCGCACAAGTTTAACACATTGTTTGAAGGCAGGATAAGACACTAACTAGGAAGGCTTTGGCAAACTACATCCCAGGGGCTCCTTGAAGATGACCTCTTTCCTTCACACTTCAGATCACAATCTCTCCTCCTCCTCTATGTCAGACGCACAGAAATCCCACAGTACCCATTTGCTTTTCCTCATTTCTCTACAACCCACTGCTCTAGGATTCTCCCCACCCCTGGTATTTCAGGCAGAAGATCTGAGCTCTCCAGGCTCAGCCACGGATCCAGGGTGTGGATCCAGGCCTTGGTATTCCAGGCTGAGTCAGCCAGAAGAAGCACTGCATGTTTCTCTCCCATTTCATTTTTCCTTATTTTGCAAGCAACGCTATTGTTTGAATAACCTGCAAAAGGCTCCTTTAGGTTCTGCAGTTCTTGAAAGCAATGCTCTATCTGGCACATCACTGACCATAAAGGTCCTACAGGGTTCACCAGTAAAAGACACCCCCAAACAGATAACAAGAGTCATCTGTGTAAATGCCTCATGAGCAAAAAGAGGCTCCTTCATATCACCTGCATTTGCAGCAGTAGAAACACTGACTTAACAGATGTATCTCAGACAACAGCTACAACTGTGAACCCTACTACTAAGCTGCCTGGGCAGTCTTCCTCCTCATCCTCACATCACCTCTTTAGAGCAGAGCAAACCCCTACTACTTAGTTTTTGATCTGACCAACAAAGCTTTCTAGCTGTATTTCTATGCTACATCTCCAAGGAACCCATCCAAGAAGTCTCTTCCATGCCAGGCATGGCTAAAGTTATTCTCCTGTTAAATCTGACAGATGGAGCTAGACAGGCTGCCCACCCACCCCAGCATCCACAGCTGGTGCTGGGAGGGAAATGCCTACTCCAAGTGCTCTATCCAACTGCCATGTCCGTGCATGTCTTTCTAATTATGGCTAGGGAATAATACATGCCTTCATGTGAGATTAATGGGGTCATCTTCAGCTGCCACACACAGACACACACACACACACAATGCTCCAGGCTTCCTCAGCTGCCCTGTTCCTACAGCATGAGCTTGTGCCAATCCCACCCAGCCCTGCAGCCAGATTCCCCACCCAGCCACCTCCTTCAGCACATAGGGCGCCTACCGGAACGAGGAACTTCTTGACCTCTTCCATGGCATGAGCCATCAGAGCATAGGCCTCACAAGGGGGTCCAAAAACTTCAATGAAGACATGCAAATCCATATTTAGATGGGCATATTTGGGATCTCCCCCTTTACGCAGTTCTTCCTCCTGAAACAAAGCAGATTTAGGGATTTCTAAAACTACAGAAAGATGCAGAGAAACTATCTGGATTTTTTACCCATTTCCAAAGATTGAACAGGAAATGTCTGTAAAAGTATTTTGGCCATGCCTGGACACAGATCATGGTAACAAACTAGGCACAAGAGCACACAGGTTTATAAAAAGCCAGATGCAACCTGCACCTTCCACCTTTTTATAGCTGCTTTTTCAGGGACTGGTATTTTTGTCAGTGCAATGATGCCAGTCACCTTTTTTTTTTCCAGAAGATTAAGCATGTGCAAGCAGAGTTCTTCCTCTGTTCCACCACCTTCTGCCTGAGGTGCTGTTTACCATTCTAGGGAAGTCTAATGCCTCAAACAAGCTTTGCTCTTAAGACACCTGTGTTATTCAAATGGTTTTAAGAAACTACAAACAAGCTACAAGTGTCAAAGCTTTTCACGCTGACCAAGTAAGAAACTGGATTAAGTTCCAGCTTTCTGACTGCCAGCTCACTAAAAAAAAGATTTTCATTTTTTTTCTGCTCAAATAAACCTCCAGGCACTTTGTGATCCACCAAACATTACCAGGAACATGCTACTCCAACACCTTCAGTGAACCAAAAGAATGTATGGATTTCAGAAAGCTGGAAAGAGGATTTTTTTTGTCTTTGAAGGGGAAACATTATTTTAGTGAATTACTTTTCAGAGAAGCTGGAATTAATTCTTATTTTATAAACTTTGTACTTCACCTTTCACATAAACTATCCCTGCATCCAAAGGTCCAGGATCTCAGATGACTGGTCTCCCAGTTGTGCTCCTACAGAGCATCACACTCCTGCCCCAGTCAAGATTGCTCCCCACATGCACAGAACAATTTTGAAAGCTTGACTTCCCACTGTCTTTGTTTTTGGGTTTTAATGCTTTATTCTTGTATAAACAATGCTTTGAGAACTGCTGCTTCTCACAGCAATATGAAAGGCATTCATATACATGTGTGTTTTCAAGGGTGATGCCCTGACCTTTGCTTTATCTCGCATTGAACCCTTGCCAAGCACTGATATCTTAGCACCAGTTTCCTCCTGAAGTCTCTTGATGGTGTTGCCTTGAGGTCCCAAAATCTTTCCAACAAAGTTGAACTGTAAATGAAGGAAAAAAAATTTAAAAATTAGCTCCAGAGCTCAGCAGCCTTCACAAAAGCTTTTCTGAATGTTATGCTGCCTGACAAAAAATTTAGCCATTCCCTTTTCCCAACTCACCAAAAATACAGACAAAAAAAAAATGAACAGGAGAATTTAAGTTCCACAATATTATTTTCATTAAAAAATTCTCTACCAGAAAATCAAGCTAAATTAACTCAAATAAAGCCTTTAATTCTAAGATCTACTCTCCAGTAGTTTTATAGGCAGCAAAGCCTTAAGAGTTAAATGAATTCTTAATTGTTAAACACAAAGCTCTACATATGGAAGTGTCTATTCTAGCAAGAAAAGATCACAGCTGTGCATCAACATTAATCTTTATCCCAAGACATTCTAGAAATGCAATATATTAGAAATAAGATCCTGCAAGCTTCCAGAGGAAAAATTCCACAGTGACAGTGGAACACACTGGAGTAACTCTTGCTGACACTTGGACAGCCTCTCTCTTTAAAAACTGGCCATAAAATCCACAGAAAATCAGCAAACCACAGAGATTCAGTAAGCTATTTTCTGGCCCTCACCTTGGGGTACTGTTTGACAGGTATCAGAACTCGTTCTTTCAGTTTCATATTCTTGTGGGAAAATAAATCCAGGTAGTTCTCTTCCTCATCCTTCTTTGTTGTTTCACCCTTCTGAATTTTTTCAATTTCTAAACAAGATAAAAATAGGGCTGCTTATATTCCTCAAACAAGCATCATTGTAGAGTTGGAATGACGACAGGACATACCACCCTTGTGCTCTGTGAGTATGAGAACACTTTTCATTGCATTAATGGAACCTGGATAGACAGGTCACCTCTTGAGTTCCAGCCCAGCTTGCCTCTTCCTCCCTTCCCACCTAGGGATCCCAGAAGGCCAAAGATGGAATAATAAGCAAAAATAAGAAAGAACAGCAGAAAATGCTCCTCACGTAACCTAACGAGGTCAGAATAGGAAAAGGTTGGACCAGATGATCCTTAAGGTCCCTTCCAACCTGGCAGCCTGTGATTCTATGAAGCTGTCAGTACAGTTCTGAGCATCACTTCTGCTGAGCTTTCCTCTCAGTCCCCAAACTCACACTACCACCATGACTGCAGGACCCATGTGAAGGCTCCTGAACCTCCAAAGGAACCAGCCCCAACCAGGGTGACTGCCCACCCCTGCTGCAAGGCAGCCCCTGCCAGCAAACCTGGCCAGTTTCTTAGCATTCAAGCTGATGAACTGTCTTCAATCTGTACTTTAAGTAGTGGTGCCAACACACACTGACACTATGATTTTCAGTGAAGTTGAAAACACTCCTCATAAACAGAAGCCCACAGGTGACACCCTAGAGTGCAGGCTGGCTTATGAAATTCTTATAAGCTTAATTTCATTAAATTAATTCACCTTTGTCACACAGCAACTCACAACTTGGTTTTTAAAGTCACAGGCCTCAGGCTTAGAGCCATAAAAGTGAGTGTCACAAGTCCCTCACACAATGCAGACAATGCACCTACCAATTTTTGTCTCTCAAAATAAGATTCTGCTTTTTAGTTGTATATTGTGAATTACAGGGTCTTGGAAAAACCCTGCAGTGGCCTGACTGAACTGAAGCATTGCTGCAGCCTGAGGGGGATCTGGAACAAAGTCCAAATAACCTTCTGCAAGTAGGTCATTAAGGTGGGCTAATTAGGAACTAGTCCACAAACACATTCTCTAATCTGTCTGGAAATTAAATTTCTGCTGAGAGATAGGAGACAGTCACCTCTGAAAAGACAACCCAAAATGAGAAGACTGAGGATCATCCTCAAGGCAGCCATTTCTAACACAGGTTCTTACAGTTATTAATGAACTTTCCCTTGCACACAAGGAACACCCAAGATGGTTCAGAAGAACATAGCCCTCAGCTGACTGGCTTTTCTTTTCCAGACATGTCCAGTCATGCACAATTTTTATTTAATGGCCAACAACTAGATGACAAGTTCCCTCAAATTTGGAGCCAATCCATTGTTAACAGACCAAAATTACTGATGAACCACTGATGAACTCTTTGGTCCAACTAAAAAGAACTGGTCACACCATGCACAGTCACCACAAGTCATTATTTACTGATGCTTATCAGGGGAGGAGCATGACCCTTCCTGAAAAGTTAATCATGCTATTTCATCAGCAAACCCATGAACTATAAATATCTTTTCTGAGTCAAAAGTGCTCTAAATACAAATTCTCACATCTCATGGGAAAGAAAGACACTTTGACAAGATTATACACATAACTGGATTAAAGCTGCAAGACAAAACTGAAACTCAAGGCTGCTTAGTCATTACCAGAATTGAGAGCTGCAACATCTTGTGCTTCCTGTGATTTTTGGTCCACGTCAGGACTAGATCCTTTAGCCTAAATGTTCATGTTTACAGCTCTGGAAGGTTGCTGTGTCACATACTTGGCATATTATCCACCTAGTAATATCATCCAAAGATAAATGGGAGCAATAGGTCACCCTCAACCTCCTGATGGACTGACAACCACAACCCTCATGGGCTGAGAATCACTGGTGTCTTGCAACTGATGCAGACCACAAGGAAGTCAAGCTGCTACACGTGTCACCAAAATAAAGACCCTTAAGAAAACAAGATCAAAATGGTCAATATTTTATTTTTTTTCCCCACTTACAGACACAGTCATATAAGCTGTTTTTTAGTTGAGAAATCTAAATATAGAACTTGGGAGACTGTGTTGCATAATTATAAAAAAAGAAGCCTAAATTTTGGATTTCTACTTGCAACAGCACCTTGGCTCCCTTACAGAAGTGTTACCATGACTCCTTGGCTAAAGCAAAATTACCAGAAAAAAGATAAGCTTGATTTTTGCTTTAAAAGTAAAATATTTTCCAAAGACACTCTGCAAAAGTAAAAAAACCCCAGAAGCTCAAGTACTGTGAAATTTATAAAATAAGCAGAAGAGATGGCTGCCTTGGTTAGTTTTAAGTAGGTTTTTTTGTTATTTTAGCTATAAGAACAGACCAGAAAATAAAGATTTGGAAACTGCAGACTGCAGTGGTGGCCTTGCCCCTGGGCAGGTCCAACTTTATACCCTGTGATACAATGGGATTATTGTCCAATATCCTGGTTCCCCCAAACCAGTGGATTTCTGCAAACACTCTTTGCATGTTAACAAGAAGTGTTCTTTACACACACAGCAAGGGGAACAGCACCTCAAACCTTCTTGATGTAAATTCAACTACCCAGAGGCATCTTCTAACCTTGTCAAAACCCCAGACAAGCAGATGGAAGCCTCTGCAGAGAAAGCAGGGAATCACAGCTCCCACCAACCACACCACAAAGTCCCCTCTGCCTCCTGCAGCCGCAGCAGCGACATCTGGGAATCGCTCTGTGAGGGCAACAAATAATTAACCATTTGCCAAGAAAAGCATCAGATCCACCATCACCAAGTCTTCAAATGAAATCCAAAACATAGAGGAAAAAAAACAAACCAAAAAACCAACCCTTGCCCCAGCAGAATGACTTGAAGCTCTTCAGCTTTTGCAATTCAGGTCAGCACAGGTGACCTTGCAGTCCCCTTCACACCTTCAGGACTAACTCCCAAGTCTGGAAATAGGTGTGAAGAAGAACTAAAAACAAGCCACTTGTGCCTTCTGCTCTGGATTCCAGCCTTATCTGGATGCATCCTGGCACATGAGCTATGCAACACGAAGCAGAACTGAAGGAGCTGATGAGTGGGAGCAGTTTGTCAGACCACTTACTGATAGGAAGGAGCAGCCTACAGGCACCTGGAGGGGTTAAGCACGTCTTGTTTCAGGGCTGATTTTTTAAAGCCGTGTCAGAGGTGCAGCAGAAGGTTACCTTCTTGCCACGGGGCATGGCAGCAGTCTGGCAGTGGCTTCCAGGACTTCATGTGGGGCAGTGATTGCATTGTCTCAGAAGAAATCCTAAGGGGTAGGTAAAGGGGGTTGGTAACACTGCTGCTTCACAAGGAGGAGGCTGAGCAGCCACAGTGTGACTCCTGAGCTAAGCCCAAGCTCTGCCTTCACACAAAGCACATCAAACATTGCCCTGCAGCACATCTGTGCTCTGCAGGCACAAGCTCCATCTGCTCATTCACAAGACTCGGAGTATTATCTCAGCAGTTTGGTGAGACTGACCCCGTGCCCCCAAAAAAACCAAAATTATCCCCCCAGAATCCCCCAATAATTTGGGGATGGGAGCCTCTGGAAGGCAGCAGAACTCTCTCCTACACAGCTGCTCCCCAGCTGGTTTGGTTCCACAGGAGAGGAAGCAGGGAGCTGCTCCTGGATGGACTCTGCAGAATCTGGCAAACCCAATCCCATCGTTCCCTCCCACCTTCTACTGAAATATCCTCCCCAGCCTGTGTGCTGGGATCCCTGTGCAGACAGCTCCACTGTGGAGTTTGCTGAGAAGGGAAGGGACTGCCAGTGCCACGAGCAGAGAGGGAAGGGGCACAGGGAAGGGGAAGAACACTGCCCCAGCATGAGGGTAGAGGAGGAAGGCTGGAGGTGAGAAGAGGCTCCTGGCAGAGGTGGAAGAGAAGTCACAGCAGCAGCATCGAGTGACACTGGTGGGGTCAGCAATAGGTGGGGGTCAGCAACACAGACACTTAGAAATGCAGCAGAGGGTGTTGGCACATCACAGCCTGTGACAGCTGGGCACATGTTTAAGGTGCCAGTTACAGCTGCTTTGGGGTAGGGCACACAGAAATATAGATCAATCCTCCCTGTTTCAGGGCAGCCTGAACTCCACACTAAGGAGCTGTCTTGCTCTGGGGTTAGTTTCTCATCACCCTCAGCCCATCTGTAATCCCACTATTTGGTTCCTTGGCAAGTCACTCCAGCCAGGCCACCACCCATCCATCTGACCTTCCCACACAGCTCATTCCCCTCCCCAGGAACACCCACCAACGACAGGAGCCTGGCAGGAGCAGCAGGGGATGCTGGTGAGAACTCCTTCAGAACCTCCAGCTGCTCCTGCTTCTCCATGAGTTGCTCTGCCTCCAAGTGCTGGACACTCCCTCCATTCATGCTGCATCCACCCACTGTTCTGAATCCACCCCCTGTTCTGAATCCACCCCCATCCCTCCTCACCACTCCACACTCTGGGGGTGCAAAGGGCTGCATTTAACAGAAGGACCAACTAGACACTGGTTCTACAGAGACCTGCTTGGTGGAATGACAGGGCTCATGGATCTGTTTGCTGCACAGGAAGCTCAGAGGTGACCAGCCCTTCTCACTTGGGAGTTTCTCCATGGAATAATACCACAAGAATTTGAAAAAAAAACAACCCAACCCTATGCCTAGCTAACACATTGCTGGGTGTCTCTTGTCCTCCCAACACAAGCAGAGGGAACTGTGTCTTTCAGGACACCAGCAGCATCTTCTGCAGAAGATGAAGAACATAAATGAAAGTGAGGAAAAGGGTTTTTCTTGTTCCTGTGGAAGAGGAAGGTCACACAGCCCCTGAATTACAGGAGCAAGGAAACATGGATCATGTTCCAAGGTGCAAGAAAACCCAGCTTCCATTTTTTTTTCAGGGCTCTGGGTGACAGACCCTCAAAATCCAGCCACTTCACTGCCTTTTCCTCACACAATTGTCCCAGAATCATTATTCCATCACTGTGCTGCCCTTCACCTTACTCCTAAATAATGCTGATTTTCTCTAGAAATGCCAATAAGCAGCCTCAGAACCACACAAGTATTTCAGACTACTTTTCCAAATTCTTTTTAATGAAATAATCTCATTTTCAGTGCAGACCTCCTGACCAGTTTCCTCCCAGGGGCAGGCAGGATGAACAACTTCCACTCCTGAGAAAAGTCTGGAATGGGAATACTGCTGACATTCAAAAAAATCAGTCATTTCTTTGTCTGGAAGTCGTTTTGCTTGAGTTGTGCTGGCTGCACAATCTTTGGACCAGACCTAAATTCCAGAGTAAGCCTTCCAGCACCTCCTCCAACATGACACCCCCAAAGGGTGTCACAGCAGCAGAGAAATGCTGAGCAATCCAGATCAGCTTGGGATCATTTGTCCAAAAAAAGAGAGATTTAGTTGCCCAAACCCTCCGTTTTCCTTCAGATTCTTTCTCATGAGCTTCCTACTCTGTTCATCCTGAATTTGGACTGCAAGAGAGTGCTCCCCAAGGACAGCAATTTTCAGAATACCCCAAGCAAGCAGGAAGCACCTGGAGCTCATCCAATGATCCATTTTAACTCTGACAAAGCTGCATAGTCTGCTATCAGCAATTTTTAAATTAATGAAAACTCATAAATCCTTGTTACACCACTGGGGGGGAACAAAGCTTTCCTAAGTGGGCTGAGAACTGTGTGGGAATTAGCAAACTCCTGAGGATTCACTTCACTGGATGGCTTGATCACTGAGCATCACCTGGCTAACAGGCTTTATTAATGGGGAAAAAAACCCCATCAAACTGATGGCAAATCGGATTATAAACTTAATTTATTCAGGTTGAGATGCCAAGTTACCCGTGATGTTCTAACCCAGCTACTTTGCACAACAGGAGGCAGCAATTCCTGAGATTTCCTACATGAAAGGAGGAGCTATTAAGAGCCCTGCACCAACTCCAGCAACACTGTATGCTTCAAAAAAACGAAACAAAAAGAAATCATTTCAAGGCAGGACGATAAGAACCAGAGAGCAAAGTGCTCTGCTCATCTGCAGATTAAATCTGAGCGTGTCCTCACGCCCGGTTACCTCCCGGCTCTCAAAAGCACTAAGTGGTGGAAAATAATACAACATTTTTAAGCTGACTCCAGCGTCTCGATAGAGGCACCGACGGCGGGTGCAGCAGCTGCACGGGGGAGATAGGGAGGAATCCGAGCCGGCAGGCGATTGGGCAGGGGGGATGGGGAAGGAGAAGGCTGGTCTGGGCACAGAACAAAGGCTGCCATTTCCATCCCCTCCGGAGCTTCATCAGAAGCGTGAAACAAGCTGGAATACGATTTACCCGAGGAGGAAATTAAAGCGGTCGCAGCCCGTGCCTCGAAGAGGCTCAAGCAGGCGCTACGTGTTAAAAAAAACCCCAACAAACCAGCTCGTTTTGAGCGCTCTCTGTGGTCGCCGCTGCCCCCAGGGATGACAAGAGCCAACACAACCCATTTTAAAAATCAACTTTCTGGGGCTGCGTTTAAACCCAGCCTAGGCGCTGGATGAAACAAGGACCTAAACGGGGTTTAAACACGCGAAATGTCCCATTTTCATAATTTTTACCCCCCCCCCTCCCCCTCTGGGGGTC